GGGGATAAATCCCACTTGGTCATGGTGGATGATCCTTTTAATGTATTGTTGGATCCTATTAGCTAGGATTTTCTTTTCTTTTTTTTTTCTTTTTCGGAATCATTATTAACTTTATTTGTCACCCTTTATAGACATTGGTCCACTTCCACATGAAAAGTAGGGAGCATCTACTTCCACTTAATATTCTAGAGAATGATGTTGTACCACAAACCATTAATAGTAACTTACACAGGGAGGAAAGTTAATAAAATAAAGATTTTATAGTCAAGCTCCAAGATGTCCCCCCAAAAATTGTTTTTTTGGGTGTATAATTACAGATATCTATAACTCCATAAAGCTAGTTTCTTTTTAGATCAATGTAGTATTTTTAATATCCACCTCATGATTTGAATCACCAAACTTTCAGAAGAGGTTAAAAAACAGCCACCCTCTGTCAATCAGATGCAGTTCTCAATCTCAGTCACTATGTAAGTACTCCCACAATTTAGGGCTACTTGAAGTTAAATACCTTCTGTTTCAGAGATATTTACATCAAATTAAGACATTTACAAATGGTTCATGGTATAGAACAGCCCAAATGTCATTTTCACCTGTCCTGTGTGAGGAAGTTAAGCACTCTTAAGTTTGTCTAATAAATTCAGTGCATTTTCCCCAACATAAATAACACAAGTTATTCTAAACGTTTTACATTTATTTCACTGCACATTTCTAAGTGTTAAATGGAATGAAATTATATTAAATGGTTATATAGTATTTGAGCATATTATGGAATCTATAGCACACAAATCAATTCACATCAATACTATAATTCACTCTAAAAGAACATCACAGGCACATGGAGAACAAAAATTGCTTTTTTCTTTTTTATAAATTTAAAGTATACCATCTACTTTTAAACTACACTAAAAGGTTTAACAAAACAGCCAATTTCCAAACCCCTTTTCTAAGTTTGGCATGAGGAGAATTCAATCCATTCGAATCTTCTGGTTTGTCATCTTATAAATAATGCTGTCATATCCAAGATCCATGTTCCATATATTGTAAGAGGTGATAATCACAGCCAAGGCCAAGGTGATCATTATCCAAAGTACCATGTTGAAAACCACTGGATACTCAAGGTTATATTTATATGCGAGGTTATAGGGGCTTGATGGGTTCTTCGCTTGTTTTGCCTCATGAATAGTCCTTGTCTTCCTGACAAGAGATGTGTCAAATGATTGGATGGTCACTAACTCCACCACTGCATTCCCACCATAAAGGTTGTACATGTCATCTGTGAACTTTTGCAGAGCATCAGCAAGGATCTTGGAGGCATCTCTGAATTGTTTAGAATCTTCCCCATAATGTTTCCCAATTTCATCCAAATCTGCCAGCTCCAGTGAATATAAATCAGGAGAATGATCCTTGGCTAGATGCTTATGTCGAGACAACAAACTTGAAATATCATGTAGCATTTGCAATTCAGAAAGAAAGAGCAGATCTACTTCAATGTTCCTACTCAGAGAATTGAGGGGAAGTGAATTGAGAGCAGAGTTTTCCTGGAACAGGCAATTGCGGAGCTGTCCTAACGTTAGGGAGAGATCTTCAAAAACCGAGTTTGCCTTCCCCACCATATACACTCTCTCCTCACTGGGAGCCAACTGCAAAACTACAGAAGTTTCTTCAGAAAATAAGGAGTGAATGGAATTTACAACGCTGTCAAGACTAAAAGGAACTGCATTCTGCAAAGGGTACGAAATTACACTGCCTGGGGGTAGAGCAAGTTTGTCTACTCCCTTCTCCATCACCAAAATGGTAGCCCGAGGTCAATGGAACAGGTTACCCACTGCAACTCCTGGCCAAGAGGTATACGCCAATTTCCATCTCGGAAAACAACAGACCCTGGTAATTTTAATATACTAAACTCATTCCCCAAAACACCCGCCGCCAACAAGGACAGGAGCACCACGAGTGCTGCCATGATCCCACAGTAGCTGCAACAGCAAAGGGCGGCACGGACCCAGTGGGCTGAACGCGAGCGACCACCGCAGCAGTAGGGGGTGTCGCACTTTGGCTTCTCCCCACCTAGCTAGGATTTTCTTTTTTTTGTTTTGCTTTTGTTTTTTTTTTAATTTTATTATGTTATGTTAGTCACCATACACTACATCATTGGTTTTTGATGTGGTGATCCACGATCCACTGTTTTCATATAACACCTAGTGCTCCATGCAGTACGTGCCCTCCTTAATACCCATCACCGGGCTACCAATCCCCCCTCTACCCACCCCTCTAAAACCCTGTTTATTTCTCAGAGTCCATAGTCTCTCATGGTTCATCTCTCCCTCCAAATCCCCCACCCTCATTTTTCCCTTCCTTCTCCTAATGTCCTCCATGCTATTCCTTATGTTCCACAAATAAGTGAAACCATATGATAAT